CTAAGCTTCCAGCCCTAGAATATTGAAGTTCGGGTATGCTCTGATACCATGAAGAAAACTGAAGAGAGGAGAGCTTGAGAGTTCGGCAATGAGGGTCTGAGAATGAGAGTTTCGAACCTACTCTCTCTCAGCACCCTAACACTATTTTATTAAGATATATTTGAATAATTACAAGGAGGCCCTTAGTTGGGCAAGAATTTACAAAGAACTTAATATAGACAGGATGGGACCAGAATAAGGCCCATTACAGAAAAACATAAATAACAAGAAAGAATAAACAACCTATGGGCCATTCGGCCCATATTCTCTACAGTAATATTTTTTAGCATGATATAATTTTTAGTTTTGAGGGTGTGAACAGTGACGCAGAACTCTTCTTTGACAAATCTCTCTCTTCCTCTTTTCTTCTCTTTCTTCTTCATCCTCTTCTCTCCCTTCTCCCATCTTCCATCTCCTATACTTCCTACTTGGTATCAGAGCACCTCAAGGATCTTGGAAAGTCTCTCTTTGCTGACTGTCGTACCCAGGAAGGCCTGCTAGCATCAGACCACTGCTGGATGACATCAGCAGTCTGTACAGGCAGTGGCAACAACTCTTGAAACTTATACTGTTGGATGTGCCCTGATTTTAAGTGTAAGACTGGCTCACATTTGTAGAGTTATTACTTTGATAATAAGAAGTTTTATAATATTTAGCCAAGTAATCCGTAGGCTTGATGTGTGAACTAATTGCAATAACTTTGAAAACAAATACTTACAAGTGAAGAAAGGATTTAATGACCTGACTGAATATAATAGAGCATTATCTGATCAACAACCTTGATGACATAGCATGATCCTAATGCAAAGAACTAACTGGTGAAGCATTCAATAGGTAAGTCTCATCTACCTCTTGGCCACTCTAAATCATCCTCCTAGAAATGAGTATCTTGAAATGCACATTGATCATGGAACAATTTAATCCTTTTATGAGGCTACTAACAGATAATAAATTAGTATTCAAGATAAGAACATGTGATATAGAGGACAAAATCAATCCAGTAGTAACTCTAATATGTTAACATTTAGAAATATGAGTGGGAGACCTTTCTGCAATAGACAGTTTATCCCTACCCTAATACTTGTTATACAAATAAAACAAAGTAGAGACACTAGTTATTTAATCCAATGCTCCAAATTCATTGACCCAAAGAGTACTCTAGTTACCTGAGATAAAAGCTAGGTTTGAAGTGGTATAAATACTTGGGTGGGAAAATATAGGAGAAAATTGAACCATAGATGATGAATCTATCTAGTAAGGCAGAATTCCTTGCAAAACTAATCTCTAAGATAAATACCTACTATAGCTTTACATCTCTACTCAAGCAGCTCCCATTGTGTCTCCCAGTGGTAGAGTAGGTATAGGTGGAATATCAGAGCTCTGTCCAAAAGAACACCACACAGCTCTTAAAGTAGATGCCAAAGTTCTGTTGCGAAGCACATGATTGTCCAACAGAATTTAAAGCAAGACACATTTTTTGCAACAATAAGGTGGATAATACTTTGGGAATTTGTCTAGCTAGTAGAGGGGGAACCATGTCTTATCTTGACTAAATGAGGTGACAGCCAAAATATTTGTAGATGGATCTACATCCAATCACTCACTTACTACATATCCGTGATGCATCATAATTTTCATTACAGGTAATTGTTCATGGAGAATATTACATGTTTTTATGTTAATCTTTGAAACTCATGTCAAATACTTATTTCCTCTTGTTACTTGAAGCTCTTTATGTACATTAACTAATTATTTTGGCAGGCTGCAAGAGATGCAGATGCACTTAGGGAAGCAAAGGACAAACTTGAAAAACGAGTGGAGGAACTCACAAAGAGTTTAGAATTGGAAAAGCGTCTAAGGGTAATGTTGTTGCATATAGACATTGTATTCTTTTTTGGAAATATTTTATTAATAAAAATGAAACAGTACATACAAGAGGTGATGAGAAGTCACAATACAACAAAAAAGGAAAGAATTAAAAAAAAAATACAACTAAGTCATTAGACATAGTCCAATTCTATAGAAAACAACAAATTACTTCCAAAATCTTCTTTAGAATTCCTTCAAATTCTGGTAGCATCAAACCCCCCTCCCTAAATCTCTTTCCACTCAGGAAAACCATTTTCTCCTTGCATTTGGATTTGCCTTCTAAGATTTTTCTATTTCTTTCCTCCAAATTTCCCAACAAATAGCAAATGGATTTCAACATGAAATTATTTTAACTTTTCTATTCCCCCTCAATGCAGGCCAACAACCAAAGGTTTTTCTTTTTTGGTTGGATTTCTTGGATTCCATAAGTCAAGATTAAAGAGACTGAAAAAGTAATCCCACAAATACTTCAAGAAACTGCACCAATAAACAGATGCATCACCTTCTCCTCGGCTAGCAAAGATAATAACTTCCCACCATTTGATATTCCATACTTTTGATATGATCCTGTGTGAGAATGCTATTCAAAGCCACTAACCAAGCAAAAGCCCCCACTCTTAGGGGAATAGGATTCCTCTGCACCCCTTCAACATCCGATTTTTCCACTTGATTTCTTTCCAAAGCTTTTATAAAAGGATTTTACTAAGAAAGCTCCATTTCTGCTTTCTTTCCACCATCTCACATCACTTCCCTCTGCTTGGATATCCACCATTTGTTTAATTTTTCTAGAAGCTCCATGCACTCAACCTCCCAATCCAGGAGGAGCATCCTAAAGTTTGAGCACCAAATCTCTCTTCCTTGAATCAGCTCATAGGAGTCAGCAATAGACACATTCTTCCTACTCAACCTATAAAGCCTTGCACATAGCTCACAAAACCTACTAATACCCGACCAATCGTTCTCCCAAAATATTATGTTTGTGCCATCTATCTCGAGAGAAACAAAGTTCAAAAAAGTTGAGTGAATTTGGAATTTGACTTGGTTTCCATTTCCTAGTCTAAATCTAAGAAAAGGAGAGGAGTCAGTTCTGAATGATACTTTTCCAAGGGGTTGGTGGCTGAAAAACTTGGTAAAGACTGAGCCTTGTCCTTTCCCAAACTGCTTCTACTGTACTTGCTTTGAACAATAGAGGCCCAAAGAGAGTTGTGTTTCCATCATGATTCTCTAAATCCACTTGCCAAGAAGAGTCTGATTTCTTTCTGAAATATGTCCTAGCCCGAGTTCCCCCTCCCTCTTAAGTTTGTACACTGTCCTCCAATTTACAAGGTGATCTGTTTTCTCACCACCCCTTCCCAAAGAAAATCTCTTTGGAGATTTTGAATTCGATTTCTCACCTTGGTGGACATCTTAAAGACAGAGAGATAGTAGGTGGGAAGGTTTGAGACGGTAGCCTTAATGAGAGTAAGCATTCCATCTTTGGATATACAATTTATCTTCCAAGTTTCCAAACACTTCTCACACTTCTCAATGACTGAATCTCAAAAACCTGCAACCTTCGGATTTCCTCTAAGTGGAAGTTCTAGATGCTTAATCAGTCAAGTCTCAATCCTATGCCCCAAAGCTTCTTCCTGATCAATTAGCATTTGGTGGGGGTGTTAATACCTGTAATACTGCTCTTAGCTACATTGGTCCTTAACCTAGTCACCGCTTTAAAGCATCTCAGGATTCTATTGAGGTTAACCAAGTACTCCTTTTTAGCTTCTAGGAAAAAGATGATGTCATCAATTTACAGAAGGTGGGAAATATGGAGATGATATTGACCAACCCTAAAACCTCTTAGAAGAACCAAATATATTGCTCTTTTCATAAAAACATCTAACCATGGTGCGAGGGGGGGGGGTGGGGGACTAGGCACCCTGCCTTAGGCCTCTAGAAGTCTTGAAATAATCTACACGGGAACCATTATAAAGAATAGAGAACCAGGCTGATTGGATATTATCCCTTCATCCATCTGATCCAGTTATCACCAAAGCCTTTAAGCTCCAAAATCCTCCAAATACAGTTCTGGTCACCTTATCATTAGCCTTCTACAAATCAGTTTACAAACCACCCCACTAAGACCTTTTTTTTTTTGTCTTCCACAACTTCATTTGCAATTAGAACACTATCCATAATTTGTCTCCCTTGAATGCACGCACTTTGGGTGGGAGCAATCACTTCATTCAAAATTTTTTTTAGTCTATTGGCCAAAACTTCTGCAATTAGGCATCCTTCTTGGGAATGAGTTTAACATAAGTTGAGTTGGTTCCTTTATTTACTTTTGCTGATCTATAGAAATCTGCAAACACTTCTAGAAGGTCATCGTTGATAATGTCCCATTCATGATAAAATGCTACAGTGAACCCATCTGGCTTTGGAGCCTTATCTTCATCAATAGAGAAGACTGCTTCTTTGATTTCTTCTATATTAAATTCCTTCTCCAATTAGATTTTACTTTCTTCTGATAAAATCGTCCCATCCCACTGAATCAGCCCTAGTTTTCAGGTTCTTCCTGAGCAATAGAGGTCTCTAAAATAATTGACAATCTTAGCTTTAATTACAGCAGGATCTGAAATTTCCTTTCCCTTCACTAGAAGCTTCTAAATGTGATTTTTCTTCTTCACATGTTGGCACAATTATGGAAGAATCAAGTATTCCTGACTCCTTCCTTAATCCACTACACTCTAGATCTCTCTCTAATACAATTTTTCTCTACTACTTCCCATTTAGGCTGCACCCTGAATCTTCTTTGCATATCTAAACTATCTAGTTGACCATTAGCTTCTGTTAGAGCTAGCCGAATAAGGGTAGATTAGTCATTTTATTCAGTTAAGTTATGTGCTTATGTGGCAGTGCTAATATTGACTTCCTGTCCCATACTTAAGTGGGGCAGTTTAGCAATTGTACAATTAATTAGAGACACTAATCTACATTATGGTTGACTGATAGGGTTAGGCTATCAGGTTCTACTGTTCTTCTTCTTCTTCTTCTTTCTCCCTTATTCTCTACTGGTTTGAACTGCTGAAACATAGCTGTTAAAACTTGGTATCAGAGCCATAAACGAAGGAGATGAAGGTTGCGACTTCAAGTTTTCCATCCTGCGACTTCAAGTTCTCTCTCCTTTTTTTTCTTCTTTTCTGGGCTGTGAATCTGAGGTACACAATCTGATAACTGCGGCACCTGTTTATTTATTTTTTTAGGACTGCCGCAATCCCTATTACAAGTGTTAGGAAGGTGCGGCAGCCCTAGGATATCAGTCTAATACTGCTGTCACCATGTGTGACAGCCCTAGTTGTGTTGTGGTGTTTGTGGTGTTTACCCTCTACTGAACAGTTTCAAGAGGGTTTGTGTGTGGGTTGCTTGAGTTGTGTTGCTGCCATGGTGACTAATATTTCTGGGTGGTCAGTAGTGGTGTGAACAGAAAAAAAATATTTTTTCTTGTGCTGAAAGAAGTGGCCGAATACTGGTCAGTAGTGGTGTGAACAGAAAAAAAAATTGTGGTGAAAGAAGTGGCCGAATACCTCAGCCTGGTAGCTTTCATCAATGTTTTAATCTTGAGGGTAGCCGAATCTGTTTGAAACATCCAGTTCTTAATCTAAATGTTAGTTTACATCAAGTTGTTGATTGTGACTAGTTGTGAGATTGTTATCAGTGTTTTGGAGACTGCTGTAGTGTTGCCTTGACAACAGTATTTGGTTGGTGACTGAGAGTTCAGCATTAGAAATAGCAGTAGGGGACATAATGGCAACAATGAGAGAAGGGTCTAGTGATAAAAAACTGTCAGAAACCGAGTGTGATGATCCCCTCTGACTATCTGGGTGTGCAAATGATTTCAATTAAACTTAATGGTGAGAATTGTGTGCCATGGGCCAAGTCAGTGGAAGTTTTCCTCAAGGCAAAGAGGAAAGTAAAACACGTGAAGGAAGATAAACCATCAGCTGACTCTCCAGGGTTTGATGACTGGGAACAGGAAGATGCCCAAATCATGACATGGTTATGGAACAATATGGAACCCAAAATAAGTGCCAACTTTATGTTCTTAGATACAACTAAGGACATAAGGGAGCATGCCAAGAAGCTTTATTTTGGGCAGGATAATACTACAAGGGTATATCAGTTCTATCAGGAGTATTTCGATCTATAACAAGGGAATAAAACCCTAGTAGAGTACTATGCTAGCATGAAGAACCTCAAAAATGAACTCAATGTTTATCATCCCCTCACTCCAGATTTTAAGGTTCAGCAACAACAGAGGGAGCAATTGGATGTCACTAGGTTCTTAGTGGGGTTGAAATCAGAGTATGAACCAGTTAGGGCCCAAATATTGGGGGGCTCTACCCTTCCTACACTTGAGGAAGTTTTTGCACGGCTTTGCAGGATTTCTTTGGGATCTATAGAGAGTCCCACACCGTCTGACAGATCAACATTTGTGATAGCCAGAGGAGGTGGACGTGGTACTAGAGGGGGAGGACATGCTTCCCGAGGAGGTCGTAGTGGTTCCATATTTGGCCGTGGTGGTGGTCGTGACTCAGGGGGAGGCCATGGTAATGGAAAAAGTAACTCTACTAGGAAGTGTACCAATTGTGGCAAGGACGAACATTCAATGAATTTTTGTTATGATCTTCATGGCTCACCTTCTACATGGGCTAATCATGCAATAGTTGGTGGGGTTGATGTCAGTGATAACCAACAAATAGATCTAATACCTTCCACATCTACATCTGTTTCCGGGAAGGAGATGATGAGTGTACTGCGCGATGAGTATGAGAGGTTCCTCCAAGCTACTTCACAACATACTATAACCACCCTTGCACACTCAGGTATAGCTTATCTGGCATCCAAACCCTCTCCCTGGAATATTGACTCTAGAGCCTCTAATCACATGATGGGGACTCCAAGTGTGTTCTCTTCTCTCTCTGAAACTTTCACATCTCAAACTGTTACCCTTGCCA